GTACAATATTTAAATAATCTTCAATCATATTACTTTTTATAACATTCCCGTACAGATTGACTCATTATGTATAGACTACTGTGTATTATAAGTATTTATTTCAATCGTATAGATCAATCTTTGAAAATGAATTCGAGACTATAAAAGCAAAACTTACATTGTCCATTTTGTAAGATTTTTAATAATATTAAAAGAACATCTTGTTTATGTACAAAACGTGAATAGATTATATCTTCCTTCTTTCAGAAAAGTAACTTTAGAAAAGTAACTTTAACATATTTAATTAAAATTAAAAATAAACATTTATAACCAAGTACACTAAAGTTAATTTTTGCTATATGTAATTCTTGTTTATAGAAATAATGTAGTTTGTAAAGTGTAGAATAAAATTACATACTTAATTTAATATTTCGTTAGAGAGAAAGAGAAAATGTGCCAGTTTTGCTTCTATATCTCTATTTCTGAATTCTTAAATTCGGAATCTTGAATTCGTGACCAATTCCTTGTTAAACTTTCGTCGTCGCTAGGAGTTTAATATAATGAGCTTTGTGAGTAATTTCAAACTCTTGGGCTGGCAAAAAGCATTGAGCCTGAATCCTTGGATGTCGCAGACGCCTTACAAGATTTCTGCCGAGTATGGCAAGGAGAACAAGGAGAACACCGGTAGCAGCAATCACGGCCATAATAATGAATATCTCAACGTTTCGCCTGCTGTAACTCTGCTCGACTAATTCAACGCAACGGAACCTCTCGCGATTGTCTACCAAGTTATCAGACATCACAATAATATTGGTGAGTTCATCCAAACTGGCGCACACTCTGTAATAACCCGGCAATGACACATCCACATCGATGATGGATGCGGAGCTACAATTGAGTCTCTGTCGATGTACTACAGAGATCTCGTTGAACACGAAAATTGATAATTGACAAGTTGATGATGAATCAATAATCGTGTCTTTTGTTTTAGAAAGAATTACATCGATGTGCAAATAGCTTTTATCATCAGATACATTTACGTGAACATCAGTGATCCGTGAATAGGGAGATATTTGCGTAGATATTGGAGAACGAGAATTTCCTTCTTTTGTGTATTGATCTTCCGTCGCTATTCGCTGCTGAGTCTTTTCTAAAACGATGACATCGCTACAACCTAGACCAAGGGATACATCGTTATAAACGTTGGGTATCAATAAAACTACACAATAACGATATTTGTGATGTAATTGTAGATGTAGAGAGGCCGGTATGGTGACCGGTAAGATGCAAGGATCTCGCATCGTCCGGGAATCACAATGTAGTGGGCTGGACTCTGTTTGAATCTCGTTATCGTCAATTGTTTCGTAGACGATAAGCGAATCACAAGTATAACGGTCAGCGCACTGCTCCACATGCCACAATAAATTGATACCGGTTGATTCATCGTAGTGAAATTCTTTGAGACTTAGTTGTGCACCTGCCGGATGTGATTCCCGGGTCATCATGGGTGGTGTGGGCTCGCCACAAAGTAGACTACCCGGCGGTACTTGCATTAGGATACCATTCTCCAAGGCAGGTGGTGTCGCGCACACTGCCGATGACTTATCCTCTTCTGTTAGGCTGGAGTTTGCCAGCCAATTAGCAAACTCCAGCAAGGTACAATCACAATTTAACGGATTGTCGGCGAGGGAGAGCTTCTTGAGGCGCAGCTTTGATGTTAGCACATCGTTAGCTACAATTGTGATGTCATTGTCATCTAATCGTAGATCTTGTAAACTTTTCAATGGTACCACCAAATCGGCCGTCAACGCACGCAGAAAATTGTGCGTTAAATCTAAATACATTAATTTTTCTAAATGAGCCAAGGAAGCACTAGACACGGCGACGATACGGTTGTTCGCCAGGTCCAGTCGTGTTAAAGTTGATAGGTACTTAAACGAATGATCCTCTAATACATCAATCTGCAAATCAACATTTAATAATTTAAATAAAATAATTTTGATGTAATTAATTTTTTTATATTCTTTTAAATGACATTTCTCTAACTTATAAACTTAATTTTTAAACGAATACACTCACTTGATTATGACTCAAACTGAGATAAGTAAGATTTCTAAGCCCCATGAGAGCTCCTTGTTGGACATTGACGAGACTGTTTTCTGAGATTGTAAGGAAATGTAATTTGGGCATTTGTGGTAATAGATTGGGACCCATCGGACCCAGCAATAAATTGTTCGAAAGATCTAGTTCTTCTAAGCGCTTCAAACCTCTCAACGCGGACAAGGCGGAAACACTCAGGCGATTTCCACGCATTCTTAGCGAACGTAATGCCGGCAATGTTAAAAAAACCTGCGGCGACAATTGTGACAGAAGATTGTCACACAAGTCTAGATAAGTCAAATTTGACAGTCCCTGAAACAGAATATTTTATTACTCTTTATAATCAATCTCCTTAAAATTATTTTTCATAAATTGTTCTCTTACAAAAAGAATTCATATATATATATATA